TACAAGACAATAAATGACCAAGACTTTGGAGCCAAACAGCTAAAATCCTGAAGTAGAGTGAGTTTAACTGCTTGCAAATAACATCCTGATTTTACCTGAGTATGTACAGATTCTGAACTAAGTTTGGGATGCAGTCCTCACTACATAATAATGCTATTATGTAGCATGAATGTATCTCTTGGTCTTCTGCCACCCTGGAGCTTTAGGAAGCTGAGAATAGGGTTTCACCTGAGACCTTCATTAGTCTAGGTGTGTTGGTATTTTTAACCTAAGGAATTTGGGCGTAGTCTGTGAGGAGCTCCTCCTTTTCAAAGCTATATATTCAAAGCACATATATTTAAAAAATAAAAACAACCTCCCCAAAAACAAACAAACAAACAAAACCACCACAAAAAATACCCCAAACCACAAAGGCAGTTCTTCTATTTCACGGTGAAAATGATCTAAATAACTGTAATCACAAAATGAAACAAATACATTTTCAACTAAATGTCTATTCCTCCTCAAAAAAGAAGAAAAGTCAAGAGGTCAAATTACGTGTTCCCTTTGGAAGTTAAAAATAACTGTGAAAGAAATCAACTGAGATTTGCCTGTGGTCCTACCAGAAGAAAATTAGCAAAAATCACAAAAGGATGAGAAGCAAGAAAATGGTTGGCAGCACACCAGCCACCAGCATTGTAAACATGGTGAACAGAGTTACTGGTTTGTAACTTAGGGAATTTAATGTCACTAAACAGAAATTCAGATTAAATTACCAGAAAAAAAATGAAAAAAAAAAAAAAGGAAAAAGAAAGCTGTGACCATAATTTCCCCTTCTTTGTAAAAGGATAAAAGAAAGAAAAGGTGAAGTCCCTCAGGCACAGCCGTTTGGAGGAGTCCGAGCCCCGGCAGGCGCTGCCGAGGGACTCACAGGGCCGCCAAGGAGCAGCGTGTGAGGGCAGCAGGGGGAGCGGGGGCTGCTCGGGGCCGTTCCCGGTCAGCTCTCCCCGGGCTCGCGCAGCCCCCTCACGGCCCGGCGCGAGGACACGCCGTGACCTTCACACGCGCTGGGCCGCGCGCTCCGCCAGGGGGCGCCCTGCGCACCGCGCGCGCGGCCTCCCCGCCCCGCCGCGCCCTCGCGGGGAGTTATGGCCGGTCCAGCCCCGGCCCCGCCGCCGCCCGTCCCCAGCGCAGCTCCTCAGTGCCGAGAGCCGGGCCGGTGTCCGGAGCGGGCCACCGGCAACACCACGGCGGAGGGGCCCGGCCGAGCGCCCGGCACTGCTGCAGCTCCTCTCCCGCCCTGCGCCGCCGGAGCCGCGTGGGGGCGCCACGCCCCCGCCATCGGCGCGCCCGGCCGTGCCCGGCGCGGCGCCCAACGAGCGCCCCCCAGCGGCCGCGCTGTAACACCGCCCGGCCTGACTGAGAGCGCCGCAGCCAATCACCGCGAGGCGCCCGCTCCGCGCCGCTCCCCATTGGCCGGGGGGAGGCGGTGGCCGCCCAATGGGCGCGGCGGGGCGCGAGGGGAAGGCGCGCGCGCGGAGGAGGCACCCCCCTTTGCGGAGCGCGCGGCGCGGCGCGGACCGGCCCTGCTGCTGCTCAGAGCCACCATGGCGCGGACCCGCAGTTGACGTTTGGCCTCTCCCCTCTCCACCTTCTCCTCTTCTCCGGCCCCTTCCTCCCCTTGCCCGGGTCCCGGCTCAGGCACGTAGGCGGCCGGTACCGGAGACACCGGGTCCCCCCCCCCTTCCCAGCCCCTCAGGACAGGCGGTAGGAGTCGGGCCGGGCGGCCGCGGGACACGCCATGAACATCATCATCGGCATCGGCGGGTGAGAGCCGGGGCCGGGCCGGGCCGGGGGGCGGCTCGGGGGGCGGTGCGGGCGCGGGTCCCTTCCGCCGGCCCTCTCGGTGCCGCAGTGCCCGGGGGATGTGTGGGTTACCCGGTCCCCACGTGGCGCTCCCCGACGGCCGCGCTCTCGCCGCAGGGTCACGAACGGCGGCAAGACCACCCTGACGCGGCGGCTGATGCGGGCCCTGCCCAACTGCAGCGTGGTGCACCAGGACGACTTCTTCAAGGTGAGCGGGCCCTGCCGGCCGCGGGAGGGCGCGGGGTGACCCCCGCGGGCTTCCGCCCGCGCTGCTGGCGCGGTGCCCGCCCTGCGCCGCCTCTGCAGAGCCAGGCTGGGCCCGTGCGCCCGGCGGATAAGCGCTCCAGCGTGTCCGGGTGATTCTCCGTCCCCATGGAGGGCTGCACGGTGTGCTCGTGTCGCTGGGAAGATAGAGAAGCGGGCGGCTTTATCTGAGCCTCGTACTGTTGTTTTTTTATCTGCATGCAAAGGAACCTGGTGGAGGGTGAAGAGCCTCTTTGGTAGCTTCAGGGTTTGAGTCTTGAATTTTGCTTTGAAATGGGTATTGAGTTTCTCGGTAGTTTTCCTGACCAAGTAGGTTTTTTTTTTTTTTTTCTTATTACTGTTTCAGCCCCAAGATGAAATAGAAGTTGAAGATGGGTTTAAACAGTATGATGGTAAGCCTTTCTTACCGTATTTCAAAGCATAACTGAAAAACGTGGAGTATTTTGATTCTTTATGTGCACTGTTTTGTACTGACTGTATTACTAGATAATATTTAATTACTGCTTAATGATAGTTGTCTGTTTTGTCTTAGTGATTAGTGCATTAGATATGGAAGCCATGATGAGCACCATAAATGCTTGGATTAAAAACCCAGTCAAGTTTGAACGTTCTCATGGGATCAACAACACACTGGATGCCCAGATCTTGCCAGATAAGGAGGGAGGAGATGAAACAATTCACATTCTTATCGTTGAAGGCTTCCTGCTTTACACCTACAGGTAATCAAATATGCATCCATACATTTTGACTTCTACATTTTGTCCTACTGCTGAGTTTAGGTGTCACAAGTCTGAAGGTTGCTCTGGGTACAGGAAATGGATGTAGTTTTATCTTTCCATTTTTACTACTGTAACCAAACACGTGTCTCTCTTTCAGGCCACTGATTGATGTATTCCACCATCGGTACTTTCTTTCCATTCCATATGAAGAGTGCAAAAGGAGAAGAAGGTAAATTTATCTTTCTGAGTTTCCTTGTAAGCCCAGTAACATCTTACTCTGTTCAAGATTTTGTTTCTCTGAAGCTTTTAGATAAGAAGGCATAAATGCTAATGTAGCTGTTTTGTTAGAAGACTGTAGCTTCCTTCAGTAAACCAACCCAAAGCTTCCTACCGAGCTATTGTGTTTGTGTATGTAATGCTCAGTTTCTGCACAGACCTTTCACTAGTCTTTTCCCTTGCTGGTTTTCCCATGATAGGGTTCCCAGATCTTGAACTATGTGGAGGTTTACACTTGGCTGTATTGTTGTACATATACACTGTTCTTAATGCAAATGGAATGTGTTAAACTTGAAGTTACACTTCAAGACGAATAAGTAAACAGCTGTTTTACCCAAAGTTCTGCTATAGCTTTCGGAGTTTACTCATCAATGTTTAGATCAGTCTGTCTTGGGAACTCTTTTTGCATCTTGAACTCTTTGGACCTGCCCATCAAATTCCAACTTACTTGGGTATTTTTGTGCTTGCAGCTCTTGCTAAATACTGACTTTCCATAAGCTGAGAAACTACATTGGAGACAACAGGCTCAGGGTAGTGTGTAGAGAAACTGAGTAAAATAGTATTTCTTTGAACTGTAATTACACTACTTTTGAGTAACAATGCTTTAATTTACAGTTCAAGGAATTACACTGTACCAGATCCACCTGGACTGTTTGATGGCCACGTTTGGCCTATGTATGTAAAGCACAGGAAGATAATGGAAGAACTTGGAGTTGGTGTGGGTAAGTCTTTAATGACAAGAGCAGTTCATGAGATTGCTTTTCAGACCTGCTCTATACATACTGGTTAGATGCATGAGAAGAGGTGAATGAAGCAGGTTGAGGGAGTGTATTTCTCTCATACCAGTCAGGTGCATGCTTTTTAAATTAAGATCTGGCAAGCTTAGAAACATTCAGTTATACTCTCTTACTTTACTTTCAGTGCACTTGAATGGAACAAAATCAAAGGAGGAGCTGTTTAATGATGTGTATGGGCAGATCCAGAATAAGATTGAAGAATTACTTAACACCCAGGTAGGTGTTCATGCTTATAATTGCAATTCAGAGGCAACTCTTTCAAAGTCTGTGTTGAAAATGCATGAAGCTGTAACTTGAAATATGTTCACTTCTATCTTTCTGTTTAGAAATAAGCTGGTGCTGCTGATTCTTGTGGATGAAGATGATTCCTGTTTGCTCCACGCTGTCTACCTGACTGCCACTAAAGTTCCAGCTTCTGTGAAGACTCAGCTCTTAAGTTCAACTTTGTTCAACCTTCCCTTGAAAAATTGAGTTCTACATGGCCATGATTAAAAAGCACTCCCCCCTTGTCTGTGATTCTAAATTGTGCTTCAGTTTAGTATGTCATCTCAGATGATCTCAGTCTTTTTCCAGTCTCCTGGGAATTCTTTTCATGTTCTTACTGCCACAAGTTAAAACATTATAGTGGAACTGATGTGAAGGGGCACAACTGTCCTGTGAGAGAGTGTGTATCCATATACACATACACTGCTTTTACTTTCATTTCAGTACCCTGCATGAATTTCTATAATCCATATAATTAGGCAACAGGTATGGTTAGAAATTAGGGTTGATTTTGTTCTTAAAAAATGAGAGAACAATAGGAGACTTTCAGGCCATTTTACTAGCATTAAATCACTCTTAAATCCAGTGCACATGTTGATCTTGGATGCAGACAATTCAGTTGAGAGTAAGGAAGAAAATTTTACATACACAACAGCTTTAAAAGTATTGACTGTGCTAGAAATTTCTGTAGTGTTGTGTAGGTTTAAGGCTCCTCTGTAAATACAGAAGTAGTTTGAGGCTTTGGCTTACATGGAAGAGCATATGAAGGGTCAATCCCTAATAGGGGGAAAAGTAAATTTAGGACAAATTTAAAAAAAAAAGAACAAAATGTCTATTAGGTATTCCAAGAGGGAAGATACTGATCAGTGTGAGACCAGTCCATTTTCTTCAGAAGGGTTTGACCAACACCAAGAACGTGCAGTTACTTCAAGCCCAGATGCATCAGCTTCCTGAAGGGAGCTGGTCCTCCCCAGTATCCTCTAGAAACAGAGAAAGTTGTTTTGTATATCTACTATTGAAGTAGGATTTGGGGAGAGTTTTTATTTATTTCTGTAAGAAATATACTGCTGAAAAATGAGTGACAAGGGATTGTTTTGGAGGTTTGTTTCAGTGAGGTTTTCAGTTTGGCAATGGGTGCCCTTCTCTGCAATTCAGCTCTGTTCTTGAACAAACCCTTGTTACTGTCAAAGTGCCCATAATCCTCAGAAGGTCCAGGTCCTAGTTATGACTAAGGATGTACTTGGTTTGCTTCTATTCCAGGAAGGAACTAAACTAGAACAGTTGGGTTTTTTTCTGACTGATCACAGAAGTGAAATACTTACTTAAGTAGTGCATTCCAGTAGAGCAAAGGCATCATATCAGCTTTCATATGGTACATGGTTACTCTCTCCTTACTCTGGTCAATGGGAAAGGTCTCCAGAGGCTGAGCATTGTAGTCAAACTCTGCTAGAATCACCTTGTTGTAGCCTGTTACAAGCGGGCAGGAAGTATATCCATCATACTGCAAGGAAAAACACCCACTTCTCATTCAGCTGAACAAAGCCTAAATGCTGAGGTATTACAAGCCACATGGTTAACATTCACATCTCAAAATTAAGTTACTATGAGCTTTCTGCATTTACAGTTTTAATACCAGTGAAGTTGGAAGGCTGCTAAGCTGATTATGGTTTAATAAGCATAATATTAAGCCCCTCTATTTCAAATGTAGATTTGCTTGACAACACTGCTTAAATTAGAACTAACCAGAACAATAGGGCTTTATGTCACTAATTGTTGGTTACTGTAAGCAGCAGAACAGGTGACAGTAGATCAGGATGAGAGCTGGTGTTTGCTTCAACAGGCACAAACAGGATCTTGAATCTAATTGGAAGAATTTCCAGAAGATTGCAGGACATTCAGGTCGGTGCCCCAATGAATATTAATTCAGAAGCCATATGTAGAATGAAAGTAAAGCCTCAGAAATTTGGACATAGTTACATGCTTATGAGCTGTAGTACAAAACTTTCAATTTTAACTCCTGAAAAGATCATGCTTCTACAGGGGAAGCAAGTTTGCAAGAGTTCCGAGAGTAGGGATTGTTAGTCAACAGTTTAAATAAGTCACCTGCATTGGTGGAGAACCCAGACTAAGCCTTTATGCTTCTTTCAATTCAGAAGTCAGGGAATCAAATAGATAATGTTTTTAGTGGCAGTATCAAGAGCATGAATTGTGCAATTAAGTTACTACTCTGACACGCAGTGTGGAGCCATTTAGCTGCAAAACTGCTGCTGCAAAACCCTTCCTCCCTTCCTGTTCACATGGTTCAGCTGCTTGCAAGATTTCCTACATGAGAAGGGGGAAAACATTCAAGATAATTTATCTGTAAGACAAGAGCTGTAAAAAATCCAAGAGCTCTGAGTACCTTTTTAGCTGGCAACTGGTTCTTCATTACCAGAGAAATAGTTTTATCAAGGACTCCAGACTGGGCAGCTGCATAAGAGAGAAAAAAAAAGTACTAAGGCTTTGTTTCAGGTAGCAATTGTCATTACTAAAGCAAACGCTAGCAGCCAGGCATTTTGTTGGACAATTCAGCTGCAACTGAACTTACATGTAAGTTTACAGTCCCAGATTAAAAGAAAAATGGACTAATGCTTTGGCCTTGCTGCTTGGAACATGCTTAAGCTTAATGAAACTTGAGCTGATATTCTTAGCCTATGCCCATTCTCCTATGGTAGATTATACTTGCCCAGTCTTCACAAGCACTGAGATTCTGGCACACTGAATTTCTTTTTAATTTTAAGTGCTGTGAGGGAAGTATTGTAGACCCTTTTGCTGAAATAGTTGACTTCCCCTTTCTTAAATTACACCAATGACATAGTGTATACCTTTTCTTTTTTCCCACCCTTTTATTTGCCTTTTTTCGGTTGTGAGACCGAATCGGTGGCTACAGGGACAGAACATGTGATTTTTTGAGAGTGACTTATCAGCTGGCTGACACATATGCATGAGGTGCTAAGATAAAGCAGAAAGTTTTGTTACTGAATGATGATGGAATACAAGAATAATACAGTCATGTCATTCTGTGAACACAGAAAATAGAATTAGTTCAGCAGTGAGGTATCTGGAACAACAGAAATCTGTGGGTTAGTGGCATTAGCATGGTTTGTAGTTAACTTTGGTCTTTTTAAAAGCTCAAAATTGAAGTCAAGACCTTGGGAGTAGCAAACTGAACAAAAGGCTCACTGTGACTCCACACTTGTCATTACACCCACAAACACACAGATATGCAACTTTACCTACAGCTGCAGCAGTTTTTGATGTTGGAAGGTTGGTGCAGTCTCCAATGCCAAAGACATTAGGATACTTTTTATGTTGTAGAGTTTCCTTATCTACATCCACCCAACCAGTTGCATCTGAGACAGGGCTGTTGATGAGTACAGGAGGTGGCCCCATGGGAGGTGTGACATGAAGCATTCCATACTAAACAGAAAGAAAAGGGGCTCAATGCTTAGTTCATCAGAGCAAACTGTGTCGATATAAGGCAATAAGCACAGTGTGGAGAGAGTTTCCTGGGTTTGTGTTTGGTTTGGTTTTTTAAACACAAGTGTATAGAATGAAAATTTGTTCTCAGATTTCAAGCACATCAGTTAATTAACATGAACCTTATCAAGGAACTCCTTCTGGACTGGCATAACAGCTGATTGCATTCCTCTATCCACACCTGAAATGTTCCCATGGCATACAGAACTCCAGGCATAGTTTATGAAATATTTTTTTCTTCTCTCCACCTTAGTTTCAAACTTTTAAATATTCTGCTAAAATTAGAGGTGGTACTCTCAGGAAGGAACAGCAGTACACAAGAAAGCAGATGTTGCGTTATTATAGTGTGGAAGTTATGTTACAGTACACAAGGAAAAGAAATAAAACCAAACTACAGGTCTGAAAGCTCCTGACCTGATGAACTTCAGTCTCTCCAGGTTTGTCCAAGTTTTCAAACACGGCCTCTTGCCTGTCTGCTCGAACTTCCACAAGATTACGCTTATAGTTCACAGCAATATTCCTCTCCTTTATTACTTCAAGCAATGCATCAGCATACTTCTTAACAGCAAAAATTGCACCAAGTGAAGTGTTGAACATGATATTTGCTTTGGAACGTTTTCCTGTCTGCAGAAAGAGATCAAATTAGCCTTTTCTATTAAGAAGCTGTGACAGGCTAGCAGAGACAAAAGAACTATGCTGCACCAGTAAAGAGCTGAGAGAACTATTCATGCAGTTCAATTATTAATGAAGTATTAACATTAGAAGTCTCAGACACAGCTATTTCACACCATGTTAAAAGGCAGACCCTTTAGTGAGGTACTGAAGACACTCCACACAAACTGCTTGTGAGAAGAGGTGGCTGCAGTGCACTGAGGAACTGCTGTGTGCAGGTTAAGCATTTGTAGCAGCTTAGCATTATATAGCTTTCTGAAACCTTCACTTCTATGCCTTATTCAGGTACTCACCCAGTAGACAACTCATGACACTTATATGCATATGAAGCCTGACACTTCCACCTGAAGTTGTCTTTTGCTTTCACCAAGCTTGCTTTAACAGCCTGGCTAAGACTCCTCCTGATTGTGTGCTCCAAGGAGCAAGCATAGCCACTTCTCAGACTAGTTGAAAGACAAATGGCAACAGGTATCAAGTACTTAAAGTAACAAGAATTAGTTAATTCCAGCCAATGTTACATTAGTGCACTACCTGAAGTTATAAATCAGGCTGAGAACAGTTCTATCTGCAGCTCACCAGAAGCCAGGTAAGCAGTTCTTTCCTTATGGATTCTGAATTCTACACGTCTCTCTGGTATTAAACATATGCTAAATATTTATGTACAATCCATTACCTATCTTCATTATACATTAATAATAGAAAAAGAAACTCACTCACTTTAAGAATCCTGAGTCACAGTCCTCTCAGGTGGTTTATATTTGTTTTAAAGATAATATGAAACCCTTACAACAAGCCTTCCTTCCAACTGTAGGGACAAGCACTGGTAGAGAGGGTAAAATACTTACTTTCCTCCAGTATGCGTCCGATAAATACATGATCTTCTGAGGAGCCCCTGCACACTTCACTGGAGTATTTGGGAAAGTGAAGATTGCATTTCCTTCCTTAAAGTCTTGTATAGCTTTCCATGTTTTCTCTACCGTGTGAATTGAATAATTGGAACCTATTTTAGGGTGATCAAAACCCTCAGGCAAGCCTTTGATCTAGGAAAAAGAAATGAAGGTTTAAAGTACAGGTGGTAAAAATTTTGTCATCATTGACAAGTATTACATACAGACTGAGAAAGAGCTATATAAGAAGTTTCTAGCAAAAAGAAAGCCCATAGTTACTGCTAGTTGGTATTTTTCAAAATAAGCCTAGCAGTCAAATCGGTATTTCCTTCAGAATTTAGTAGATATTTAGTAGATACAACATTTAGTAGATGTAACTTTTATAACAGTAGATAAATGAAATTACTTTGGTCTGCGACCATCTGAGCATAAATCTTCAGTGCAGACCCAGACCCAAGTTTTTATAGACTAGTGCATGAAGTTCAGAGCAAGAATATATAAAGTCACTGCCACATCACCACAGGTAAAAACCACGTTAAAAAAAAGGTGTTATGAAAATTTATAAACTGAATGAAACTTTTCAGTAGTCAGTTGCAGATACCTGTGTTTGCCTATAGTTATTTGAACTAAACTGTCTCCAGTAATTTTTTCCCTACTACTCTTACTATGGCCTGAGCATCTGCTTTCAAGAAGGGAGCTGAACCCATTTAAAAATAATGGAACATAGAAATTCTGTGAGAAAATGGAGTTGTGTTACGTGCGCTACAATGTGTTTGGGATGTTCCAACGTGCACCACGAAATATGCTGTTGGTGAAGAGAAAACATCCCTCTTTTTGAAGTGCCCACTTTTGTTTTAAAGCCACATAAATCTGTTACTGTGAGTTTTCACTACAGAAGAATACTGATTAACTCTATTACATGGCTTCTACTAGGGAACACTGAATTTACTTTTATCAGGTTGTACTAAAGCAATATGAGGGTCACTGAGCACAGTGTAACTCCTCATTCCACTGACCTAATCACCAGAATTTATCTGTGTGACTGCAGTTAACTGAGACTGGCTCTTGCTTTTCAAAGAGATACTCAAATGCATTTTCATGTTCAGGTCAGGATAAAACCACACGAGTCAAAACACTCAGTCATCTTGCTTTTGTGTTTTCTTCCTCCTACACATTGTTGTTTTCATTCTTGTGCCAACATTTCCCTCTGAGTGCCACTGTATGAAGTGTACAGGAAACTTAATACAAGGGAAGGACACCAGGGTCTGTTTAAACACAGGTGTGGTAACTCAGCTGGTTCCTTTTGAAGTGCATCCTTTAAGAAAGGTGAGGGTAGGACAAATTAAATCTGCAGGACAGATTTTACTGACTGCTGTGTGTTCCTCATTCTGTTACATTAGAGATGCTTTGGACTAGAGTCAGCATGCCTTATTATCTCATTATTACAGGCAGCCTTTAAGTTCTAGATTTAACTTGCTACCCCATCTGCTGATATTGCCATAGAGATGCAACAAAGTTGTCTTAAAATACCTTCCCATGGGTAATTTGGGTTATTACAGAGATCTGTGGAAGTGGTAAAGTCAGTCTTCTGGCTCATTAATTCAGATAATGTTCAATATCTCGGAGTAAAAAAAAGTACTGAGAAGCCTTAATGAATGTATGTGATGCTCTTAAAAATAGTAAAAACATGATTACTGTAAAACAAATACCTTTTCATAATGCAGACTAATTCCAAGGGCAATTATCAGATACTTGTAAGATACCTGTTGTGTAAGGGGAAAAAAAAGAAGTATTTAGACAAAGAAACCAAAGCATTATCTGACAGCAATAGAGTCATAAGGGGAGGAAATCTAGGGAGTATTAGTAATATAAGTTAAGATCTAAGCATTCCAGTTAAAATGCAAACTGCATTACACACACAGCCTTTGCTATACACAAATATCTGGAGCAAAACATCTGAACACCTTTTTCGCCATAAATAGGGCAAAGACTTATGATAATATTTTAAGCTGATTCTGTTCTAACCTAGTTACCTACCAAAATTTTTATAAGAAAAAGATTTTAGGATCAAATACTTCTCATAAGACTAAGTGGAATTTCCCGGCCTCCTCAATGACAGAGGTCTCAATAGGCAGTTCCAAGGGGATGGAAAAAACTTCCTTTTTTTTTTTTTTTTTTTCCTTTATGTTTCTACCTTGATATCATTCTCCAGCCAGACACAGTTCTTATCTGGATCCAATGCTGTAACTCGAGATTTGATCCACTCCACACCCTTGGGCATCACACTTCCCGTTGGACGTGCAGAAGCCGCCAGCTGCTTTGCACCACCACCGACCAGGGTCCACAGCGGCTGATAGTAATGAGTCTGAAATAAAAGTCCAAATGGACATTTAGGAACTGTTTAAAAAGACTTCAAGATGAAGGCACATCACTCCACATGGGAAGCAATGTGCCCTTAATGTTGTATTATTCTTAACAAAGGAAGTTGTATAAATAACCAAGAGTTTTGCATGGCAAAGCTGGAGGGATGCAGACATCTCACGGAGTAACAAATTTCATGCAAAGCCTTTTAAAAGATGGTTAATTGGCTTCCTCTCCACATTTAGAAATGTGGAACTGGAGAGGGATGAGAATCAGACCAACCTGGTCACATATGTAAAAAAATAGCTTATTCTTTACAATGCTTTACAGCTGATGGAGACTCACCTTACTTGGCTCAACAACAGCCACATTTCCTGCTCCCACTTTCCTCTTCATCCGAGCACTCATGGCAATTCCACCAGCGCCCCCACCCAACACCAGTACTTCATAGTAATCCTTGGCAGCACACCTGGCTGCTGTATGGAAGCCAAAGGAGCTCATCTTCTGCACCCCTGATTTCAGCAGCCATACACCAGGATGGAAACAGGAACAGGAAGACACTACTCCTATTGCTGACATCTTTCACTAGGCGGGAAGCTACGAGATAAGGAAAGGCATCAGTAACAATTACAGAAGGTAGAATTTATTTACATGATTGGATGAGTCTTCAGGGCAATAATTATAATACCAAACCTTTTGTTGCAGTTAAATCACTAATTTGAAAATGGACTGTAATCAATTTGGGAAAGAAAAATAAAAAAGGTCCATCATGGCCTCTGCCATGAAATTGAAATTTCATACAAGCAAAGGAACAGTTTCTGGTTATTGTAGCAAGCAAGTCCATCTGATCCTATAGCACAGGCAGTGCATATGCTGTAACATATTACAATCCTGAAAAGATGAGGGCTGCAAAACCAAACAAGAATTGCAAGGTGTTGTAGATCACTGAAATACTGAACAAGGAAGTTGTGTGAACATACTGTGTGCCATCCCACTAACTGTAATGTGTCAGCCAAACACATCTTTACATTTGTATTTTAAAGTTAGGATGTACCAGCACTTGCCCCTTCTCGCTGCCTCTCGGGGCACAAGCCCTCAGGGTGAGCATGCCAGGTCCTATGGTGCTTTGAGCAAAGACATAGTGAGCCCTAAGCTTGATAGGAAAACAAAGTTCAATGAAACAAGAGTTTACATCTTCCTAAATCTGAGATCTTTGAGTATGCTCAAAATACTTGGTTCTCTATCCATGATCACCTCTTTGCTTTTATATCAGCAAAGTAGCTGGAAACAAAGGTCAGAAACCCATACTTGCCTTGCTAAAGCTGTCACCTGGCAAGTGAGAGCCAGGACCCTAAAGTGTGATATATCCTGGCAATTGTAGCACTGGATGTGCAACTGCATTACCTGGAAGACAGTCAAGATTAACCCATAAGTCTCCCTCCCACTGCTAGAGGGAACAAGAGCTTTTCCTGCTCTAAATCCATTGTTTGCACATGGTTGCACTGAATATCAGATTTTAGCTTTTCAGTGATATAACAGGTATAAACTAATTTTAATTTAGTTCCTTATTGCCACATTGCCAGTAAAGAATGAGTAAGTGTTATATCATGAAAAGCAACTTATGACAAGACTCTCCTGTGTTCCGTACTTGCTCCCCTTTGCTTAACTCATTGAGTCATCAGGCTTTTTCACTTAAAAAGAGCAGAACTCATTTATGGTACCTACAGACCAGAGTTTGAAAACTAGACCAGAAACCTCAAGTGTTTTCAGGAAAATCTTCCAAGGTCAACTTCAAAAATTCTCTCCACTACACTAGATGTAGTTGAACAACTCATTCTGCATTTTCATGTACTATCTTACCATTCCTCATCTCTGTGTACCCTGAATTCTTCATGATGTTCCATTATTAATCCTCAGAGTTACAACTAATTTGGGACTAGAGAGGGGAAAATCTCAGAGGTGTCCACTGTAAAAAAAAAATCATTTTCTTTTACAGAAGGTTTCCAAGATGTAGACATTTTCTTCCCATCCCCTCTCCATTCAGAACAAAACACCCAGCTCCAGGATAAGTTAGTTTCACTTTAGGAGGCTGTTTATCATCTGTCAGTGCAGGCAGCTGTTTAAAAATGTGGGCAGACTGCACATGCAAGAGGAAGAAGTTGTTGTTCTCGGCCTAGATATAAAAGTTATCTGATGAGGATGTGTCCTGTTCTTTCCAAATCAGAGAGATGAACTGTGAAGAGAAGGTTTTGAGACTTGTGTTTGAGAGACAGTTTTAAGAGTGACATCCTGTTTGCGGAAGCTCATGAACGCAGAATTTTGCTCGGGTTTATTGTGCACACAGAACATGTCCAGTGGCCTGCTGGCTGACAACACATTCTGGACCAAGAGAAAAAGACTCCATTTTTGTAATGCCAACTAAGGAGTAATCATCCTCTCTGACCACATAGATTTTTATGTAAGTATGCTTCTAAGCACACACAAGATGTTCCTGAATTAACAGCAGTGTAATTGATGCAAATGCTGCATTATGTTGCTTCTCGGTGGTTTCAGAGTATATAGAAACAATCATTTGTAGACAGCTGTTTTAAAAAGAGCAGCAAAGCCCTTCCTATTAAACTCCCAAGTCAGGCAGCAGCTGGACAATTGATTCAGTCAACAACAACATCAGCTCTCTCCTTTTGACTCAGGAGACAGAGGAACAGGGGAATTACAGAACTAAAGGTAAAGGAGAAAATTCACAACTAACCTACTGAACTGAGCTGAAATGTTATGCTTTTAGAAGACTGCTTTAACAGATAGCACACTTATCCATTATCCTTTAAACTATGCACAACAAAACACGACAGTTGATATTGGCCTTATATAGCATGAAATCACATTCCTAACGAAGATCCATAAACAAGTCTCAGAGTACTGCCTAGAAAGGCAAAGCCTGCAGTACATTTCACCTTATTGAGGGCTCTGCTTAGCCTGGAACAGTTCTGCTGTTTAAAACTCGTTCTGTCACCAGGAGAAGTAAATCTGTTCTACAAATGCTTTCAGGACACTGTGGTTTGTTACAGCACTGGCACTATCTCGACTAGTGCCCAGAACAAACACTTAACTGCAGCATGGCAGTTCATGCGGAGACACTCAGGACAACTACACTTTCTTCCTCTCCGGAGTACCTCCCATATGCTCAGCTCCCAAGCCTGACAACTTCATCGAGCCAGTTCATGAACAATCTCTTTCAGGGAGTTGGAACAAACGAAGTTAGAAAAATCTCACTAACAAAATCATTGCAACCATTCTTTAAACAGTTGGCCCCAGATTAGCAGTTCAAACATTCCACTCATGCACTTGTGCGAGCACAGAATGCAATCCCTCACCCTGCTGCGGAGCCTACGAGCCCCACAGAGCAGGCTCACGGCACCCGCTGCCCCTCGCCCTCCCGAGATCAGAGACACCCTGTCCTGCAAGGCTGCCCCCGAGCAGGGGCACAGCCCCGGGGCTGGGGCACAACCCCGGAGCTCGGGGGACAATCCTGGGGCAGGGCTGTTCCCCCCACGGCCCTCCCGCCGCTCCCTCCCCGGCCCTCCCGCCGGGGCGACCCCGCCACCTCCGCCCCCTCACGCCGCGGCTGAGCCCCTCTGCCCGGGGCGAACCGAGCACCTCTGCTCGGGCCGCTCCGCTCCCTCCCGGCGGGACTGACCCCTCAGCCCCGCTCCCAGCCCCGCTCCCGGCCCCGCACTCACCTGCTGGCCGCGCCGGGCAGAGGCGGGGCAGGACCCGATAAGCGGCGGGGCCCGGCGGCAGCAGCGGCGGGGCGGAGCTCGGGGCAGCGGTGCTGCCCCGCCGCGGGCAAAGGCCGCGCTCCGGACGGGAGAGCCCTGAAGGGCCGGACCGGATCGTGCTGGGCTGTCCCGTCCCGTCCCGCCCGTGTGTTCGCAGCCACACGGAGCCCCCGAGCTGCTGAGCCGGGCCAGGTACCGACCGCACCTACAGCTCCAAACACCGCGCTTCTCTTTAAGTTTTGAAACTCCAGTCCTAAACCTGGACTCTTGCCAATTCCTGGTCTAAACTCAGCTGCTGGCACCAGCCTAGAAGTCCCACCTAGACCCACATGGCAGAGGTCGCTCACGTCGGGCTGAGCTAAACCAAAATCACAACCACTACAGTAGGTGTGACAGAATGACCACCGATACTTCCGTATCTGAACTTCATCAGGCTACCTATGAGCAGCAACCCTGAACTTCAATCAAGTGGCATTTTTCTATAGACAGGAAAATACCAAAATAATTAAACTTTAATAAAATAGCACCAAAACACATACTAGATCAAGAATTAATAATAAACAAGCTCTGGTGACAGTGCATTCCCAGTGAGAGGCAAAGGCTCACTTTCCAAAGTGCTGCTGAACACCCACATTTCATGGGTTTTACCAGACAGAAAATGTATTGAAAGAAGACAAAATCAGTATCTTTAAAAATATTGCATGGAGATTAGGCATCTTTGTTAACACAAGTGACTTCTCTAAAGAGAAAAAAAAAAAACAACCATGGTTTATAGTCACATCTTTTAAAATACCCAAACTGCCCATTTTTACAATTTTTAAGAGTTTCTCGACTTCCCAGTTGCCTTGGTATAGCCAGAGTACAGCCTTTTTCCCATTCTTTTTCTTCTAAGAGGTCAGTCTTCATCTTAGTCCATGAGAGAAGAAAATGGTCATATTGTTTTTTTAAAAACATGTATTTTTAGGATTGTCCAAAAACAGCAAAGTCCAGGCAGGATGAGAGGGTGGGAGCTGCTGTGCAAGGGCTGGGCACACACTGCCCAGGCCACTGGCACCCCAGGGTGCCTGTGGGAGCAGTGGATAACATTCCCTGTTCTCCAGGCAATCAGGCTTTCCTGGAATGCCCCATGTTCTATTTCCTTTCATAAACCCCATGACTTGACATCACGGAGATAAACTGATAGACACGAACAAAACCAAGAAGGAAATACTGATATATCGGTGCTTTGAAGCCACACAACACCTCAAGAACAACTTGGACTGTGAACCCGAGTTACTCCCAACCTCCCAGGTATGTTGTTGTCAAGTTACTGCCTGAGGGAAAACAGTTAAAATTCTCCATTTTTCCACACCAGCACTGCTGTGACTCTATAATAGAGCTGTTCTTCCCATCAGTTTTAGTTCGATCACCTATGTAGAGAAGATCGGAGAAAACTGAATTTGTCACATCATAAGAGTTCTTGGCTGTGCTGGTAGAACAAAGGATGGGTTGAAGACACAACAGAGGTGGTTGTGGGGATGTCACTGTCCAGTTTTGGTACCTGTTTTTCTACAAATTGACTGAGAAGATTAAAGTAAGTATAAATGTACTTCAAATTACTGGAAAGCAGTGATATTTGGGCCAAAACCAACTCTTTCCTTCACCTTAAGCTTTGATTTGAAAATAAATAAAGAAATAAATAAATCAAACCATCTTTGCTACCTTCACATACTGCCTCACTGAGAAACTTAGTGTGTACTGTTTTGCGTGGCATGAATAGCCATATTTACTCTGTTATAATTTGTATTCTTACAGATTTACATCACTAACTGCAAGTCCTGCACAGTTTTTAGCAGGAATTTAGTTATATTCACATAATGAATTCAACAAAGATCAAACAAGCAATCAGATTTAATGAGGTTTAAAAAAACCTGACCCCTGCAAGGTGAGACATTAAAGCACCAAGCTCAGAATTAAAATAAAGAACAGCCAGCAGTGTTGCAAAGCAAGCAATTGTGGCAGAAAGTGTCTACTGAAGCATAATTCAGAATAAATCAGCCAGAGAATTCTCTCAGCTGCTGGAATTCCAACAGAACAGCTACAGAAACAGCCTTTATGTTATTATTTACGCTATTATCATTTAGGTCACAGCACACAGAGGAAAACCAGCTAAAATATTCTGTAGCCATTTTCCAAAAGGAAACAAGTATTCATCTTATGAATATCCCTATAAGTGACAAAGCCAGATTTTACTGGATTAAAAATTGTCTCATGGAAAGCTGTTTGGTTATAGGTAGGGAAACCCAAATGAAGCATCTGGGTTAACAACAGCAAAGATAAAAGCATGGGAAACCAAGATTCCCCAGTGAGCCATGGTAACTCCTAAACTTGGAGAACCTTAGAAAACAAAAATTCAAATAGTTACTGCACAGTTAAGTTCTTACTTCTGCTGCTATGACTTGATTGTTTAAAAACAAGTGAGTACACAGAGCATGAAATAGCACAAAAAAACCCCAAACTTGTTTTAATGCTGTTATTTTATCTGTTTCTAAAAAAATGCAGCTAACTACACCTTCTCACGTGGATAGGATAAAAATTCAGTAAGTAATGTCTAATACTACTGGATTTATCTACTTGACAAGTAATTTTTTAAATTTTTATAAAATCAAGCCAGACTAAATGTACAGCAATAGAATTACTTGTAACTGTGCACGTTACTGCAAGAACACAAGTTTAGATGCCAGTATTGTTAAACTCATCCAGTGCAGTATTTACTTTTATGCATTAAGACATAAGAGTATTTGGGAGAACAACATTCAACAGAGATAATGAATTGTAGTTTTGACTGAAGTAATTTAAGAGCTCATTAATAAAAGTTACATAAACTGAACAAACTTCCCTCTATAAATTTTTATTCATGTCTTCCCCTTTATTACAGAAAGGTAATTTAGTAAAATTAGTTCCTTATTCATAGAAAAAACAGATTTTACTATACTTTTATAGAAAAAGTTAATCAATTACATTTTTATGTATATGTATGTGATTCCTCAGGCAAGCACTGTCAGCTTTTCTTCCTCTGATCACAAATTATTCCAAAGAAATGCTGAAGTGTGCACTTGCAAAGGCATCAATTTCTATACTCAGAATTCTCTAGTTTCAGTAAAAGTAGCCATGAGTTTTAAAACAAAACAAAAAAACCACCCACAGTTCTTCACAGAGAGAGAGAGACTACAACTTGACACAGTAAACTGGATTCTAGATGAGGGAACACAAATCAAGAAACACCAAAGGAGTTCGATCCTGATGTGGATACTGAGGCATCTAGTTTTATGTTATACTTTAATGAGAATTGTTTAAATTCCCAGAATCTGATTTTCAAATTACATTACAAAATAAAATATTTAAACAACATTTACTTATGTACATTCTGCTCCAAAAAATGGACTGTGGAAATTCTTTACATTTCTCTTAGAAATACATACAAACCACAGCACAGGTCAACAATCCACTGGCAAGTAACAGACACAAGTCAACTTAAGGGAAAAATACCTGTGGAAAGTTTTAATCTATTACTGCTTCAGTAACAGCATTTCAGAGTCTCTTCAGACTTTAAGTAGGCTTTAAGTAGTTTGTTCTCCTTGCCCCTAAATTTTATCCCAGTTTACCTTGCATGTTGGATGGGTACTCGTTAGAAAAAGATGACAAATATTAAGAACAGGAAATTAGGAGAAAATCACAATACAGAAGAATCCAGGCAGGTGTACAGTGTGTAAAAAGTAATCTAAAACAGAAGAACAAATAAAATTGCCTGTGCCTCTCTGATACCTTCCCATACATATTTTATGGAAAACTTTACATAGCTTATCCTTTATCTTACTTCAAAACATACCACTTACATTACCACTTAAAAAATAACACAGATATAAAATAGCTAGTTTGTTAGACTGTAGGAACAAATAGTTTAAAGCTCTTTTACCAGTCTAGACAACATGTACATTCATTGGAATGGGAGTTCACACCAAGTGCTGCAAGACAAGAATTACATTCAGAAAAATGGATATCAACCTCCATTCAAATTTATCATCAGTACACAGTAATAATCATCAATTTGGGTAAGGACAGCATAACAAAAATTCTCTTACATTGCCCAAAGTGCAAATGATTCATTTGTTAAGGAAAAAACATTAAATGCAATAGTTTTCCTACAGATAACTGAAGTGGAAATTGTTTAGTTTTGGTTATGTTTTATTTTGTCACACAAGACGAAGAAACTGTAACTTCTAATCCCACAAAAAATATGCTTAGACGACATTACAGAAGCAACAGCTCCCTGGTTTGACTCAAATGTTTGTGGAAGCAAATTCATCAATCTCTGCATCGTGCACACATCAATTTTGACAATCTTTCATGTTCTGTTTCCCCCCCGTCAATCAATTCAGCTGGGAACTTGTTCAGAAGTTACTTTAAAACTGTTTTTAAGCTACTCGATGCCAAAAAAATAAGATCGCAGCAATAAAGTGAGTTTTTAGGCAAATACACTGGAAGTTTCTTCAGATCGTTAGAGATGGACCAAACTAAGGCTGCACAAAAAGTCAGTATTTGTGATCAAAGGCAGATCTCAACAGCCTGAAACAAAGCAGTTTCAGTGAAACAGGCAGCCACTGAAGATCAGTGATGAGAAGGGAACTTTAACTGGTATTCTGTATTTTGTCTGAAAAACACGCGTACCAGTCATCAAATATCTCTCAGAATTCCAAACACCAGAAGGACAAATGAAAAAAAAAAATTGATATTTAAAATTATGATGCCTAAGTTCTCCAATATACATATATATAAAAAATTAACTTACATTATAATAATATCAAACTGCATAGCATTACAAAAGAAGGCAACTTGAATGGTTGAAATGAAAAAACGTGAATGTTACCAACACTATTATTACCATTCTGGAATTTATAATACCATAGGGTATTACCATAAGTTGCCAGTAACAGCTACGGCCCAGTTTAAGCAAAGTCTGCCTTAATTCCAGAGAATGCAGAAATCATTAATTCAGACAAGTTGTTGCATGCTCTGCTTTCATGTCCTCTTTGCAGGTTTTGCTGTTAACTGTTTCTCTCTTTCAAGTTCCTTCTCACGTTGCTGCTCTCGTTCTAGTTCTTCCTTCTGCCTCTTTTGTTGTAGCTTAAGTGCTCTTTTCTAAACAGAAAGGACAAGAAAATAATTGTAAGTTTTATAGATATATTTAAGTTGGAGCTACCAAAAAAATCCTTTCCCTTCTCCAATCCACCCTCTTTACGACCGAATGTTGCATGAACTGTTCATTTTTGCTTCGTTCCTCCCACTTGCAGCCTACTGTTCAGAAGTGGCAAGTCTGATCTGCACTGGGAAAATGCAAACTGGATTCTCTTAAGTCTCACTAGAAGTCACCCTTTGAGTATACCAGACAAGGTGATTACTATGCAATTTATTGCCTCCAAGAGAAAATCCTCTTGGAGGAAAATCCTCCTCCTTCAACATACTGAAGGACTTGCCAGAATGTAACCTGACTATATAGCACGAAGTCAGTGAACTTACACTATTGTTACTGGTACATTAAATAGAAAGAGCAGCTGTTACATTTATGACAATCTAGTTTTCATTAGAAAGAAACTGAAACAACAAAGAGAACTGGTTGGAATGGAGTGGATTAAGTGACAGAACAAAGCGTGATTCTTATACCAACTAAACATGATGACAACACTGAGATTTACGAGTAGTTCAGATGTAAAAGTTGCTTAAGCAACTCTAGGAGTAAGTGAAAGTTTAAAAACACACATGGCTTGGTGCTACTGGAAACATCCTTTCAGATACAATTCTATTTTAATCAGAACTTTCAGCATGCATCCAAAAGAAAAGCTGGAAGTCAATAATACATAAGAAATGATCTATATTGGAAAGTAAAAATATTTATCCCACTCACTTTTAACTTGGACGTCTTCTCATGGATCATCATCATTTCATTTCTAATATTCACTAACTTGTTGTGATAGTGTTTAGCTTCTGAAAACTTAAAAAACACAACTGTTAAAGCAGTGACTGTCAAGTTGGAATGGTTGTTTTATAAAGCTACACAGCAAAATGGCAATCAAAAGCATAGTGATTACCAGAACAGTTTGCTAATGCATTGAATATATAAATTTACATATTACATGTATCAATATATACCATATCTCAACAGGGATACCCAGTAATCTACCAAATTAAAATTCATTATATAGAATAAAAATATTACTACTCCATTCACCATATATGAGTGTTTCATGCACCCCTCCTGCTAGTTTTGGGAGGTGCACAGAGCTTAGTCCTACCAGAAAAAGGCATACATTTGCTTTGGCTACTGGTTTTGAATGACTAGTCTCACTACCACTGGCTGACTGAATCTGCCCTCTCTTCCCAGTGCTCTTCCTGTTTAAGAGAAATATGCTGGTTCCCACCCTCTCCAGCAATAATTTGTCCCAAATATCTGAACTGGTTGGTTTTCTTCCTATAGGCCACTAAGAACAAGGAATATACACAAGTTGCTACTAATACTTCAGCAAGAAAAACCTACACTAATAGAGATTTAAAAAGGCATTTATTGGTACTTACCAAAGCATTGATTTCAAGAATGGAGTTACACTCTTTGAATTTAGAAATTTCTTGTTCTAATGTTTCTAGTAATACCACCTGGTTCTGTCTAAAACGAAAAAAGATGCATAAACCCAAAGTAAAGCAGGACACATGCTTTTCAACCAGCTCTTTAAATAAACAGGACTTTTGATCATAACAATATAAATACACACTTCTCAATATCAGATTCTTCTTATGCATTGCTAGGTCATTTCAATAAAGACATGAGTAAATGGTTTTAGAAAAATCCCAGCTGAGTACATGAATTCATCTGGCATCATACAGCATGGATGAATACCCAAAAACTCCTGAAGAGGCACTCTCCAGGCTGCAGTGGTTGAATGAAAGGGAAAACAATTAGCTCTTGCCTTTCCACTTGGGTGCCTCTGCATTACACTGCAGGACCAAGTTATTTCTGTATAGAACTTGTGTAGATCCCTGGTGCTTATTGAGGATCCTCCATCCCATACAAATCAGCTCAAGTCTCTCCAGACACAGGCTGTCCTTGGCAGCAGCATAATCACATCATGTGTAGTGAAACCCAAACCAATGTACCCTGTAGAACCTGAGATGGATCTGTGTAAAGTCCTTTGCAGTATCTCTGTACCCACGGCAGACCCAGTCTGCATTTGAAATCAGCTACTCTCAGTTATCACTGAGATATCAATGTACAAAGAATTCTCATCTATTTAGCTCCTTACTTATATTTTTCAAGTGTAGCTTTTGCAACGGAGATTAGAGACTGGACAACAAAAAATTCACTGCACTACAAGCTGCTCTGAATACAAACTACATCTCTGCAAGTGACATAAATCCAGCTTTCAGCAGACTTTCCACTACAGATGTGAACAAGTGTTTAAGAAATCTCCATGTCTTCTGCTATACCAGCTCAGGGGATTTCAGTGTTCTAATGTTACACATTCTTCAGTCAAAGTTCTCACAGGCTACATGGCAGCTTATACACCACCAGTACTCCTGCAGATCACTTAACTGCTCGTGCTGCTCCAGTCAGGGCACAGAAATGCTGTGATAAACTCTATTGAAGTTAAGAGGAGCTAGCCCATTAAACTGAAAAAAGTGGCAAACAAAGTGTGCATGTCTATGAAGTTGGTTTTAAAAATCTGCTTACGTAAGTTCCTGCAGTGCTGATTTTGATCGCTGAAGATCAGGCAGATAATGGGAAATCAATCCTTCAGTCAGCTGCTCCACAGCTTTCTCATCTATTAAAGGCAGATCTTCTACTACTCCTTCATCTGGAGATGCAACACCAGGGCCTAAAGCAAAGAACAGCAAGGTTGAATGTGAAAGGTCAGCACACACTGTGTCACTTACAGCAGCTATATTTTCTCGTTTAAATCAAAAGTATTTCAACACTAAAGTTACAATTCTCTGTATTTTATCAACTAAATTGTGCTTTCTTTTTCCTCCCCCTCTTTATCCCTTCCTAATTCCCAGTCCTATATCATGAGCTTCCTGGTGAACCCATTTGTCTGAAAACTAGCTGAATAGAAAGAGGAGAAACAAGAGTATTCCAAAGACATCTTACGAAACAAAAACCCCAAATGCTCCAGGCTACTGAGGAAGAAAAGGGGCAACATCAGTTGTCCTGGCTATGCATCAAGATCTAAACATTAACATCCCTCCCCCTTTGCTTTTAAAGTCAGAGAACAAACCAGGCCTCTGGAAGGTCTTCTCCTGTCACTCAAAACACAAGAAGACCTCCTTGAAACACCACGTGCTGAACTCCAGGACATTGTAGGAGCCGGTTAAGAGCTACTGTAAGCTCCGTATTAGCGCGCTGTTATTATTTATTGCGTGCAGAGCTCTTGGAAGATAAAACCCTTCAACTCGCAGGCCCCACCGCCTGGGGGAGAACGACGGCAGCAGTGCCCCCTTCGCCCCGAGGGAGCGCGGCCGCAGGACCGAGGGCGGCCCCAGTCCCTCCTCGGCCCCCGCACCCGCCCGGCCCGGCCCGGCCGCCCCTCGCGTACCCAGCGAGAGCCCGGGGCCGCCCGCGGCCGCCGCCGCCTCCTCCGGCCGCTCCGCGCCGCTCATCGCCGCCGCTCCGGCCGCCCCTCGGGCACGGCAGGGCAAGGGCCGAGCCCGCGGCGGAGGGAGGCGGGTCCGGTGCCCTCACCGAGCGGGGCGGACCGGTGCCCCCCGCCCCGCGCCCCGCCGCACCATAGAGAGGAGCCGCCGTGCAGCGGGGACGGGACCGCGCCGGGCGCGGAAGTGATGTGTGAGTGCGGTAATGACGCGAGGTGACGAGGATGACGTGCAGTGATGAGGATGACGTGCAGTGATGAGGATGACGTGTGAGGGGTGGCAGTGACGGGGCTGACCCCAGGAGCCGCGGTGCGGCGGAGCCTGACCCGCCCGGGGCAGAGCGGCGGCCCCGCGGGAGCACCGCGGCTCAGCTCAGCCAGCTCTGCTCAGCCAGCTCTGCTGAAATCACCGCAGGGTGGCCTTTCTTAGGGACACCCGTCCTCCTGTATTTGATAAATCTGTATGTTATTCTCCAGAAACCATGCGGACTATTCACTACTTGTAGCTTTTGTTTCTTAGGAAATACATAACCAGCTTTTGTGTATGTATCTGTCTCTGCATCTCCCTCAACAGTCGTAAGAGCAATAATAACTTGCAGGTATATATATATATATGTATATATATATATATATATGTTTAATGAAAAAACACTTTAAAAGGTATGGTAGGATTTATATTTTTTCCCCCTCTTTTACCTGTAAAGATCTTTCCAGGAAATGCAGGTGCAACTATAGAAAGAAACTGATAAAGGAACCACTCAGAAAGTTTTTGGAATGCAGTATTTCCATAAACCCCCAAACCTTCAAGGTTAAATTAAATTAGGGCAGTCCCCTAATGCTCTTCAGAAACAGATCAGGGCAAAAAACAGACTTTTGAGGTGATCTGTCAGCCTTAAAACTGACATTTTTAACAGTGAGATTGTTGCAAATTAATTTGTAATTTTCTTCATATGTATATTCTAATTAACTGTCGATCACAATTGTGTCAGTATTCTGTCATCAGATTAAAAATGTTGTGCGTTTTTCTTCCTTTTTCTGCTTTTACTCTAAACAAGAAGCAACAACAGGAACCTGTCAAATTCTGAATTACAACTGGTTAGCAGTTTTACTTCAAGTTTCTTTTGGTGGGGGAAAAAAAAAACTTTTATTGAAAGTTTCACTGGGAAAGACTTCTAAGCTTCCAGATGGAATTTTTAGTAAGAGCAAGTGAGATAATGATTCTGAAATAGTCTCACTTGAGATGTGGGAGTTTCAGATTTGTGCTCCTGCTTTGCCTGTTCCAGGCCTTCCCACGTCTTGCAGAAATAGACTAAGGATTGGAATAGAAAACTGGTATCTGGTTTTCTGGACAAATTAAAATTTAACTATTTATCAGCTCAAACGCTCCAAAAAAGAGACTGAGAGAAAGCCCTTCCTGATTCTTTTCCTCTGCAAAATGTTCTCTGTTTCATAGTAACTATTACCCAAGTGCCATGTATATAGCACTGTAACACCAAACAATTGTGTTTCCTTTTCATTCATCTCGTAGCAACTGTGTTCAGAATCCTTTAATGCAACACTGTCACACATTTTGGATTTTATTGTAACTGCTTTAAGCAGGTATGTAACAGTGTCCCACCCTAGAAATCTGAGTGAAAATGGAGTAAGTTAGCTTGAATTGTATAGCAAATAGGATGTTTTAAACCATCAGCTTTGGAAGTGCTGCATGACTTCAGGGATGGCAGCATGAAAAGGAAATATTAAATAGGTAACCTTTTAAAGACTCTCTGTCCTTATTAAGTAAACGAGACTACTGAAAAAGTACAGCCTTGGCTGTCACAATAAAGAAATAGAGTGTAGCTGGCTGTTACAAAAGGCACTGTTCCACAGAGGTTCATCTTACCAATGTATGACCCGGTTATTGACTTGGCAAAGAAAAAAATGTGGTCTTAGTTATTCAGTAAAAGGCGAGCTGGCAAACCTTGGGGTACTGGTTTGGGGTGTTAAAGTGTTAAGTCCCCTCAGATTAATACCCTTACTCAGTGCTGGAAGTTTCTGTTCCTGTAGAAGTGGCAAAGCCCCAGCGCAAAGCCCAACAATTTAGGAATCTTAGGAGCAGTTGTTTTGGTGGCTCCTGGAACCTGGCTGTTCATGCCTGCGTGTCCTCGCTCACTTGTGCTGGTACAAGTGGTGAAACTGTTGAAACACAGAGTGAGTTAAATCACGCAGAGAGAACAGAAACTTTAAAAATGCATGAACTGGAACACAGCTGGGAGCACTTTCCTAGGCTGGCTTAACAGGTTCCCAGCCTTGGCTGCTCATGCTGCTTCCCACACTGTTGGCTGCCCCCTCAGTTGTCACATGGATGTCTATGCAAGTTGTGGTCATGGAGGCAGTCTCAGTTACATGTACAAATACATGTGGAACCCTTTCAATATGTATTTTTTAATTCTCACAGATCTCAGTGACCCAATTCATTGTGTGGCCCACAAAAATTGTGCTGGTAGCTCTGCTGGGGGAATTACGAGGTGGGTAAAAAGGCCAGGGGTGGCATCTCTTTAGCCACCTGAGAAAGAATAACTTGAGGTTACATGCGAAGGAAAACTGCCACATTGTAAAGTGGGAAGGGAGCTCAGACAAATCATCATACTGTTTATTTGTGGACATCATTATGGAGAACAACAAGAACAACAACAAGCAACCTCCGCCCAAGGCCAGTTTACCACACAGGACTCCCCTCCTGCAGGGCCTGTTCCAGGAAGGGAACACGTTCTGCTCCACATCCTGTGGCAGTACCCCAACACCTGCCAGAATCTGCTATCAGCCCTTGACCAGAAAGGGAGTGTCTTTCTCCAAAATCTTGCACTTCTCTACAGCTCTCCAGTCTTCACTTAGTAACCTCCTTCAACCAAGTAAAAACCCAGAATATGTACTTTCCCTGAGACAGGAGTGTTTTTGCAGAAATGTTTATGACTTAAGGAGCTGACTGAATGCAGTAACAAAATTCGACCATGTGTACAAACTGGTGCTGAATATGTGGAGGCTGGAAATCAGAAGAAAATTCTAGTACTCAGATCAGTGAGGAGGGGGAATAACCCTAAATAACCAGAAAAATTAATAAAGGCAAAAATCGAATTACTCTTAAGTTAGAACATAGTTATGAGAGGAATTACAGAACAGGAGGGTCTCTGATATTTGTTTCTCCCTACATCCTTAAGGTCATTTTTTAAGGGATACATTTAAGGAATTTCCATCAAGGTGCATGTTACTTAATGGAGCTACTAAAACGGTGTGAAGAGCGGCGCCTTTGACAGGGAGAGAAAGAGAAAGCGACAAAATGCAAACTTCTGCCTTTTAAAATCTCAAGCCAGAGCACGGCCATGCAGTCGGGGCTTCCAGTGTAATTGAAAAGAGCCTCTTGTCTATCACAGATCACACCTGGATTGTAGGGCTTTGTCAGCTGTCAGTCTGTACCTCGCACGGCATTTACCCACCGAGCACAAACGCGGGCAGGAATGGGAACAGCCCCCCAGGTACCGCGAGGGACGGGCGGGCCCCGCCGCGCCCCGATCCCCGCCGCGCCCCGATCCCCGCCGTGCGGCCCCCGCGCTCGGCGGGACTCGAACCCGCGGCCCCCACGCTGCGGGCGGCGCAGGCGCGGTGCCGGCGG